TTTCTCGATACCTGGGCTCGCGCGCGAGCAAGCCTGAGCTTCCACCGAGCTATTCCTTCGTTTTTCTCCGCGATCGTGCCGGTATGCGGTAGCGAAGTGATACGAATAACGCGTGAATTACGGCTGGCTAATGCGAGGGAATTATCTTGTCAGGCAGGAACAGGGATCCGAGAGTTTTCATACAGAGAGGACTTCGTGTCCTGGATTTTTCAGGTAAATAACTCGAGGATTCACGATCGTTTCCGACGACACGACGGTCGTTTAATCTGCTGAATCGGGAGATTTTCTCCGGTTTCGGTTAGGATTCTCGTTTACTCTGTTGCGATTCTGGGTGACTCGCGTGGAACTTGTTTCGGGGACTTTGGAAGTTCGGGGAAGGTAACGGAGGGATGATTGGTTAATTATTGTGGAGGGAATTGTGGGAAAGTTATTTTTGAGTTCAGGATTTTTCTTAAGGGTAAATTTTGGGGGGAGACAATTGTTGTTTAACTTGTTGGATTAATTGGAAACTAATTTTCGGAGGATGTTTCTGTCTTGCAGGTGTGTGGTGGAATTTTTCCTGGATTTACCGAATGATTCTTTGGTTTCGCTTGAATTTGTCATGTGAAATTTTTCATGAACTGTATCGAACTTTTGTTTCAAATTCTCCCTATTGCAAATCGAAACGAACTGTCGGGACAGGCTACAGTTCCATCCGAACGATGGAAATCCCAGGCTATATAAGGCCTTTGCACCTCTTCAAACAGCCAAAGCCCTTCACGTTCAATAAATTCTGGAAATTAACAGTAATTCCTTTTTCTAAACCTAACGGGACAATTTTAAACACTCGGCGACACAGTAAGCTATTGACGAAATGGACGGTAAGCAGGTAATTAGAACAGTCCCGTTCCTCAATACCTACCATAAAATCCTTTCCCTAATTTTCTGTACAACAGAGCATCGAGCATCTCGAATTAGTCTACCTGCTTCGACCATTTCGTCCCACTTGAATACTCCAAGAAAGATCGATCTCAATTCAAGCATTGTCACAGACGTGACGACTGGTGGATAAATAAGAAATTTTTTGAAAAAGTAATTCGGTTACGAAAGGGTTAATTTCAGGCTCCGTGCGATTTTTTGGCGCTCGTCATTTAAATCAGCCAAAGCCTTCCCTTTCCACGAGTTTCTAAGATGTTAATTTGAACCATCAATTTCTATTTCCCTTCCTTAGAAATTCTCAACACCAATTTAAAAGCGCTTCAAATTCGACACCATGCGGTGAAATTTAACAAAGCACGCGTTCGTGTTTACATATCGCAAAGTCGCAATTGTAAGTGAGAAATGTTTACATATCTAGTTAAATTAAAAGAACGAAAAATTAACATTTTATGTAAATGCAACGCGATTAGATAAACTTCCGGCAGGAAGTCCAACATATAGAACGTATGGTAATGAGTAAGATCTAACAGGTGTTTGAAAATGTTCGAGTTCACCGAATTTATTAAAATGTTAGACAAGTACTGCAGGAATAGCAGTTTTATTAATCGCCGATACAGTACCCGATACAATACTATACTGATCTAAGACTACTTCCGCACGTATTCTTATACCTCTTTCCGCTACCCGGCTGAAGCCAGTAAACAAACAACAATAAACACAAGTTACAAAAGGTACGTTAACCGAGAAGAGGGGACAGGCACCGTTTGTTGACACTATTTCTCTCTCCCTCACTCATTCCCATCCTACAGTACCGTTTTTCAATAATACACTTTACGATCAAATTTCCATTCACTGCCTATTAACCAGAATACACATTTCCGCTATAACTATTTTTAGTAACAATCAACCTACTAAAACCCCCTCTTATTTTCTCCAAATATCTCAATTTAAATGCAAAGTTACTCAAGTACTTTCCATCACCCCAAAAGAGATCCAAACTCCTGGTCAAGACTAACCCCCAATTAACAGGTCAATAACGACACAATCAAGACAAAACCGCAGCATCCTAACCACACATGACACCGAAGTCAACCCTTTCAACGTTGTGCATACACGCCAACAATTTACACCCCTCGTTCTCGCCGAGTTTAATTTCGCCTACGCTTTCTTCCAATATTCTATCTCCCGTAAAAAAAAAAAAAGGAAGAAATCCTCTCTCCGCAATATCTACGGGATCCCATCTTCCAGATGCGTTTGGCCCCCCATAGCCGCCGCGGCTGCACCCACGCAGCCACGCGTGGACGATGCACGCATCGCTCAACCCTCCGGCTTTTCATTTAACGCGGCAGATTAATTCGCGCCGGTAAATCACCACCGCGAGATATTCGTGTGCGAGCGTATCGGTGCCGCGGCCGGCATTGTATGTTAATGGCAATTGGCCCGCGGCCCCGGAATAATGGCGCAAGTGAATCGGAGGCGCAGATGCTGCCCGCTTCACAGGTGAGACCGCGACGAAGACGACCTCCCTGGCACCGAGATATCCCGAGTTAACCCTGAAACGACTGATGCTCGACAGAGATTCCATCTTTGCGGAGAGTGGGTCACTGGATTGGTTCATTGTCAGAAGTAAGCGTATTTGCTGTTTTTTAGGGTAAGAGGACCTACTGTGCAGAGTTGGGAAGAAGTCCAAAGCGCCGAATAGAATGTAATTTAGATTCTTGTACTTACAGGTGATTATCATCATTTTGGTATTTAATAATATTGCTTTTATACGGAATATTTAACATTGAAAAAGTACGTTAACCGTTATGTCAATAACCGGGTACCCTTTCGCATAATTCTCACTTCAAATATTTGATCTTCCAGGTAAAGGTTTGAAATATCCGGCCGGATCGTTGTTATTTCGCACATTTCCTATCCGTGTCTGCCTCAAGTTTACAGTTTTGTTATCAGAAAACTACTAAAATTGGACGATAAAGTAGACGGCAATTCTGGTTATTGACATAAGGGTTAAAGTCGGCCTATGGGGAGTATTCTATCATTTATAAAAAAGTACCTACTGTGCAGAGCTGGAAGGAAGTCCAACGGAATGTATTTTTGTATTTAATAAAATTATTTTTTGTACTCGATATTTAACGTTAAAAAAGTACATTGTCATTTGAGAGTCGTATTATTGCAAATTATTAGAACAATTTATTTTAGATTTAAAAATAGTATGTACTTCTGGCCAGGATTTCGGCCAAATATATTTGCCACTGTGAATTAAGCTAATTTAATCTAATATTACCTGAGCAGCACTAGAAGTATTATAGTTTGCACCAGTGTGTGTTACATCGAGGTAGAGATAATATTATCTCTCTGTGTATAAATTATCATAACTGAACAAATTGCAGTAAGTGCAGTACCGATGTCAGGTTAAAAAGATTAAGAAATAATTGAATACGTAAAGTTCGATGATTTTACGAGGCACAGAATACAACGGTAGCTGTGAAGAAAGTGTCTCCAAATTTGACCGTGTAGCGAAACTTGCCTTGACAATGTAACAACTGAACTGCAAATCCTCGGTGCGTAATTATGCACCTCGTGACCCGTGTGCAACGTGTTAAACGCACAAACGGTACTAAACGATAGTCCGAGCTATTGACAATGTTCGCGTTTCATCGTCGGCTTGACACGCATAAGCAGGCCACGCTGGTGTACGTAATCGTAATTGCGTAATCGACTTTGTTGTTGGAAGAACAATTTGATTCTGTGGTCGCAGTCACGAATATTTATTTTGTACGTTTGGAAAAACGAATCTGACTTGGAAGACTAACAGAATTTTGATACTGAAGAGCATTGTAGTGTTTTTAAAAATTTTTCGAAAGTGGGTCAAACCCAAAATATAGTGTTAAGATTAAATTTAGATTTATGAAACATTTGTTGGCTAATTTTGCTAACTCAAGAGAAAAATAGAATTTTGTGCAATTTTGAAGATTTTGATTATTTTCAATTGATCAAAGTCTTTGCAGAGTCGATTTCGTTTGAATTCGAAGAAACTTCAATTTCAAACTTAAATTCTGAAATTTAGATATGAAAGAATTTTTTAATTTCCATTTCGAGAAGATTAACTGGTATTATTTAAAAGATATCATTTTTAGCAACAACTCTGGACTATTCGTTGAAACATTTCCCAAGTATTAGAGTAAATTTTCTGGCTAAAAAGAAAAAAAGAGGCTAATGTCATTCACTGATCAAGTTCTTTTCATGTGAGAAAATCAATATTCCCCTAAAAAGTTCTACTTACCAAATGCTCTCGACACGCTAAAACCAATTTTCTCTTGAAAGAAAATTCTTTCGCGAATCTCATCTACATATCAAATGCGTTTGACGAGGGAAAATCAATTTTCTCCTAAAGAATTCCGCTCACCGAATGCTTCTAACGTGCGAAAACCAATTTTCCGCTGAAACAAAATACTATTCCACGAAGTCCACGGGTAATTATTCTCTCTACAAAAATTCTCAAATGTTAAACCAATTACAAAATTACCCTTACAATCTCTATTAAAAAATATTTCTTCACACATCTGTACAAAAACAAAACAAATTGAAAAAACACGTCGCGTATAATTAAAAAAAAAGAAACTGTTCACAGAAAGTTATATGAAATCTTACGACATTTATACTTCTTCGTGATATTCTTAATATCCTCTTTCTGATATTTTCGCTTTTCACCTCAGTTGACAAAATAAAACAAATTCACAGAAGAAATCTAAATTTCTCACCTACTTCAAAATATTCATCAAAAACTAAGCGCACGGGTCCACTGGACACACCTAAACCGGTCACCAATTAAAACGCCATCAAACATAAAAAAAAGGAGCCCCGTACAACCGAAAGCACAATCACAGTGGCTCTAAAAAAGAAGAAAGAAAGAAGAAATCTCTGGAAAAGGCTTTCCGCGAATCTTCCCCAGCAAGATTCAATCTCGTTGAACCTCAGGAAGGTTTAGAGGGTTGCAATCAGCGTGATCCTTAATCCTTGCCGTCGGAAAGGGTTCGAACACGCGAAACGTGGCGCGGTGAAAAAGTATCAGAGCTTACCGCAGTAATGGACCAGGATATGAAGAATGCCGGCGTGAATCCGGGAGTCGCACCAGGAAGCGGTGTCGACCTGGGGCTCGAACAGAGAGAGATCGAGGCCCTCCATGTCGCTCTCGCCGCAGGAGTCGCTCAGAGGCTCGAAATTACCGACGTTTGCCATCTCGTCCTCGTTCGTGATGTCCTCCGAAAGATTCTCTCCGCCGCCGCCGCGACATCGTGTCGGTGTCAACGCCATATTTTCCCAACCGATTATCCACCGATGATAACAATACACACGCAACAACACCGAACGAATCCAAAACAGACCTGCTTGCTCTAGTAGGTGCGTTTCTGAACCTTTTTTTCTGCAGTGAACTCCTTCGAACTGCACTCTAGACCACCACACGTTTTCACTGATCGATCTGATTCATTGCGGCTAGAGCACAGCGTGTCGCTGCTCGGCGCAGCTTTCGTTTCAGAAACTGAAAACACATTGTTGATCTCGTGAAAACACGCAGTTGAAGCGCGTCGAAAGTAAACCGAGGCATATCGAGACTTCTCGTTTTCATGGCATAGTTAACGGCAGAGCACTTTCAGCTATACTCTTGCTTAATTGCTACTTCTGTAAATTAGACCAGTGTCGGCGTTAACAGCTGTCCCAATAACGCACTAGCCCGTAACAGACGATCTATTTCCAATAAATCACCGTGTCGTGTCGATCGTGTTCAACGGTCTCGAGAACAGGCGACCGATCACTGGTAGCCTAATTGAAACAAACGTCTCTGAACGAAAACTTTCTAGACGTTATTGCGATATATACTGCACGATGATGTACGAGTTTTTCACACTTTGATTTAGAATTCTTTTTTTGTTGCTAGGTGTATGTTGATCTTGACTATTCGCTGTTTTAATTGGGGTTTCTACTGTTGCTCGGATTTACGGGTGTTCGAGGTTTGGGTGTCTTGTTTTAATCACTTCAACTGTGACTTGCTCTCTTTAATTAGAATCCAAATATCGAGAGTTTTATATTTCTTTTGTTGTTTTATACTTGGATCCAAGTACAGATTACTTTAAGATCCAGATTTCGAGTTATAACGAGTAATCCGAGAACTACGATATTTGGACAGTAAGAGCACTAATTTTGACACAGTGTTGCAAAGAACTGAGAATATTGCACAGGGTGTTCAAATCATTACTAAATTAGCGTTTTTCTCGTAAAGGGTAACGATACGGAAAAAATGAAAGAGGAAAATGTTTTACTGTCTCTTATAGCCAAAATAATAGCTTACGCAAATTTTTCATATTTGCCACATATATCTTTTTATATCGTGCAATTTTTATTGGAAAATTTGATTGTCTCATCTCGACAATAATCCACGTGACAATTGCGACTCGTCGTTACGAGGCAAAGGGTTAAGATAACGTTGCCCCGGTGTTTTCATGGAGGTAAAGTACCTATAGAAGGATCGGTAGAGTGGATCAAAGTTATGTCCGTGACACACGAGAGAAACGAAGAGTACTCGGGGTTCTGGAAGTGGAGTTCTCGTGTCTGAAACGCGAAGACCCTCTTTAATTAAGCGAGCTTGTAATTAATTGCCTGTTCTTGGACCATCCCCCGCGCGACATGTCAACGAGAGTTATGACCTATCCAACAACACCGAGTAAGCACTCTTGTCGGCTGGACGACCTAAAGCGGCTTCGGAGCTTTTTGCTTTCTCTTTACGTTGAGAATAAAATTGATGAGAGGAGATTTGAACAAAACGGTCGAAGGGACGAGATTGACGTATCGGTGATTTCAATCCCGTGGAAATTCGAATAAATAGCTCTGCACATAATGACGCTATAAGTAGCCATACTTCGATCATTCTAATACCAGATTTCCTTAACAATTCTAAATTTCCTAACTTTCTAATTTTCATTCTCATTATTTTAATTTTCATTCTTACTCTTTATTACTTAAATTTTTATACTATTTTAATTCCTGAAAGGGGATAATTAACCGGCACGTTTAAAATTATAATTTTTTAACGAAAGTTCCTGAATGAATGGCTTATCTAATCCGTCACTTTTCAGGGTATTTGAAAATATTTGAGTATTCAAATGTTTTTCACCTTCTAACTGTTTTTCAGGGCTGTAAAACAGTCTCTTTCACCGAGTATAATGCAAGCATTCTTCCAACAGCACGATTTTCCTACATAGCCGTTGAACAACTTTCAAATCCCAATACCTGATCCACTCTGATGCGTAAAAGACGATTTTTATCTGGTAACTACGGCAAGAAACGTAACACAACTTAGGTTCCAGTCTGTGTTAAGGCGAAAGCAATTTTTTTCTAGCACGTCGCGTAGGTACGCGGAATTAGTGCATGGAGTTTCTGGAGATGAATGCAGTGTCATGAATAAGCGCGTAGGCTGCTTGCGGTACGTGACTTTGGATACCAAATGAGATGTCTTGACGAGGGGCCGGGTACTTAGACTATGGTTCTCACTTTGCACGCTACAGTTTTACGTTTTCTTTCATCTAGAACGCGTTTCAAAAATGTGTACCTATGCTAATACCAATTCACAACTTCGGTTTCGTTTTTCCACAGTAACAGGAGTGAAAATTACCGATATAAAAATTATTATTCTCAATTTCTTCTTAAATAAAATTTGTTACGATTCAAGATCACTGAAATTCATCTACCATCGGCGCAGTTTCATTCAAACTAATTCGATTTCGTTTTTCTAGAATAATGGGAGTGAAAATTGGTGATATCAAAATTTCACGAGATTTTATTCTTAATTTCTTCACCGAAATCAAATTTGTTGAATAGATCCCTTTTGTTACGATTCAAGATCACCGAAATTCACCTACCATCGACGTAGTTTCATTTCAAACTAATTCGCCAATAGGAGTGAAAATTACCGATACAAAAATCTCGCGAGATTTTGTTCTCAATTCCGTCCGAAGTAAAATTAAGTAAAATGAACTGAAACTCATCTACCATCGACACAGTTTCATTGCAACTAAATCACTGTCAATTCAAGATAAATATTTACAGATAGCTGGAATCCATGCATATTTCAAACTCTCTACCGAGTTGCAATTCTAAACAGCAGCTTTAACATGTAATTCCAAAGGATAAATAGTCTCGAATGTACAAGACTCCAAACAACCTCTGCATTACAACTCTTGAATAATTAATATAGTTGACCTTCAAGGTGCATTTCTACTACCATAACTAGCCTGTGGGGCGGCCAAATCCTTTTGAAGTTCACGTGCTGCTATAAATGGTGCTAAAATACCTGACTCACATAAACCAAAAGGGATGCATTCTCTATACTACAGGTCTACCCTTTGGATGTTGCCAATAGTGTATATCAGCGTAATAGACGGTCAATGCTATGAAAGTAATCTGCATAAATAAAACACTCTTCGGGCTAAGCTAATCCTAGAAGCCTCGTTTCCAAATTAACCCTAATTAACGCTCACGCTGATGTCTCCACGTGCACAACTAATCCTCCAATAAGTGCAATTTATTTTTCTTTTTTAATTCATTATCGTCCTTTCTATTATGGTGAAAATATAAATAATGGGAAACTTATGTCTACATGCATGGGAAATTGATTAAAAAATAAGTGCAATTTATTATTATCCTTTCTATCATGGTAGAAATATAAATAATGGGAAACTTATGTCTACATGCATGGGAGATTGATTAAAAATTAAGTGCAACTTATTCATTTTTTAATAAATAATGGGAAATTTATTTCTACATGCATAGGAAATTAAGAAATAAAATTGGTAATCTTTAGCACAGCAAGTTGAGAAAAATGTGAGCGTTAAAGGGTTAAACAATGTTAAATATGCTTGCAGTGATACTGAAACCATATTTAAATTGGATACGCACTCAAATTACAATGGGTCCATTGATCAGAGGTATTGACCTCGTTTGAAAATCGTGGCTACATATATTTTCATTCCAAGGAAACCTACACCAAATTACGTTACTTTAAAAACAGAAGTTTATCCTATACACAACTTTCTCAGCTATTCCTTGAACACTATGTTATTACATTCTCGCGTTATCACGTAACACATTCTCACATTTTATCACGTAACACGTTCTACTTAAAAGATGATATTTCATACAGAGCTGTTTAATCGAAATTTTTCAGTACACGTTTGTTACATTAATTCCCGTACATTATTGTACACGCTCCTTTGCAAAGATGCATAAAATATGCAAAATAAATGGTGCATGGTTAAAACTCTCTAAAAGCAAAATACGAATTTCCATAAACGTCCACAGTCTAATTATTAACAAATGAATGTAAATAATTCAGCAAACGTTATGTTACCAAATAAAATAACGTAAATATCATTCATTCGCTACTTTCTCTGTCAAAATTATGTAACAAAAAATAAATTCCAACAAGCTGCACGAGGAATATTTTTTTAACGAACGTACCTCTAAATAACTATTAATTCAACAAGTTACGCCCAATCCACCGAAAATACCAACGTAACAAATTCGAAAAAAATAATTCTCCAAATTTCCACGTCTGATATCGATCCTCTTTTCTATTTACACGAATTTCTCCGTTTGATTTTCGCAACGGAGAGATTCACTTTCGACTAAAATTCGCAAGCTAACGCAACGCGAGCTGGTAAGGGGACATTAATTGCTCGATGCCCGTGAACGAGATATATCGCGACGGCAGCGTGGCGTGCTCTTATGTCGATAAATTATTTACACATATTTACACGGACCGCTTCCTGTGCCAGCCGAGCCCGCCACTGCGGATGCAAAAGCGAAAAAACCAGTTTCATTGAAAAAGGATAACGGTGTGCGAGGAACTCGCATGCCGAAGCAGCTTCACACGATGAAAATCTATTACCGTATACACGGCTGTTGGTCCAACAACCGTTTCGTTCAAAAAGTACGAAAATTTTCAATTACACCGTCTCATTAATACTTTTTTTTTTTCAAAACGAAGGTACTATCGATAGACTCGGATGATTGTCGATTAATCTTCTGTTAGGTCGTTGCATATGAAATGAAACTTCGAGCCTCAATAACGTAGCCAAAGCTGAACTTTATTCATCAAAATTCTAGAAGATTCGACACATTTTTGCCAACGAATTACAAATGATTTTAGTACAAATCTGAATATTGGTAACAAATTCTTAACAGTGGCTCATTGTTCAATATCTTTCCTGTTGCAAAGTGATCTAAATGCTTAAACCAACGTTGTGTCTTTATTTGTAGAC